TGATTTTTAAGGAGATTTGAGGCCGTGTACCTGTTGGAGATGGTTTGAAACTCTTTGAGTTTGGAGTTTAGCTGAATTCCTGAATCAGATCTTAAGCCCATTAACAAATTTTTAAGATTAAAAGCAGATCCTACGTTCATTAATCATAATAATCTAGGCACGGCAAACAAAACCTTAGCGTTTGGGTTGAGGGTAGACTATTCTGAAGAACAACTTGTAAGAACCAGTAGAAAAGCTTGGTCATAGTAATGGACGACTTGATGATGGGAAAGTTGCAGAGTTGAATTTCAGATCAAATCGACATATGGGAGTCGGATAGTTATCCATGTGGCTCTTGTAGCTTGGAACATGCTGCTGTGAGAAGACTCACGTGTAAGCTCCCTACACACAATAATCATAACTCAGAAACCTGATCAAGACATAAGAAAGATTAAAGGACATAAACTTTTCTGACAGGTAGTCCAAAGATGACGACTTTCTTCCCCTGCAACCAATAACAATCAATCATTATCTCAGAAACTGAGGTTACACCGCAAATCAAAATACAGAGGAAAAAAAAGAGAGAGGGTTGACCTTGAAGATATCTGACAATGGTGTGGTTGAGAATTTGGATGAAACGCCTTCGTCCCAGCTGCGAGATTTTTGGAGGGAAACGCCTGGAGCCGCCGAGGTTATGTCTGTCCCCTCTAAGAGTTTTGAAAGCCCTTGATGAAACTCCGAAGAGCCACATGAGCCACATGTTTGAAGCCATAGGCTCGATTAATCCTGTCATTAGCAATAAATCTGAAAAGAAAAGGGAAGCGGTTGTTTTTCCAAATCACTGGAGCTACTTAACGGCAAGAAGAAGCAGACAGAGTTCATGGGCTGGTCAATGTGCGGACACTTAATCGAAGCTGGATACTCCATCACTGTCTTCAACCGCACAATCTCCAAAGCCCAGAGTCTTCTCTCCATGGGTGCCAAGCTAGCCGACTCCCCAAACTCCCTCGCTTCCCAATCAGACGTCGTCTTCCCCATCGTCGGTTACCCTTCAGATGTCCGGCACGTCATCTTCGATCCAAACTCCGGTGCTCTGTCCGGTCTATCTCCGGGAGGCATCCTCGTCGACATGACTACCTCCGAGCCTTCTCTAGCCGAGGAGATATCCAAAGCCGCTTCCTTCATCAACTGCTTCTCGATCGATGCTCCCGTCTCTGGAGGAGACCTCGATGCTTAACAATTAATCTTGAAACTCAAACAATTAACACGTGGCATCACTACACTCTTCTAATTAGTGACGTGGATCAAGGAGAAGGGAAGCAACTTTTCTTTATAGTAATAGATTACCAAAAGAATACTTTCCATTGAAATATAAACAGATAACTATAAATACTAAGCCATGCATGAATGTACTATAGTTTAGGAAAACAGTATTTATGGAAAATACTGCCGACGTAGATAGAGAGAAAGAGCTAATAAAATTAAAACTGTAAATGATAGTTTTCCAATTAATTATCTTTGTTACATTTAAATTACATCGATCAGAAGTTCAAGCAGTCGCATTCAACATTCATTTCACTTTGCATTAAGCCGATCCGCCCCAATTGTGCTAATTATGCCAGTTAATGTAATACTCAATTTACCAGTTTGGTGACCACCACCGTAGCCCCGCTTTTCATTGCATTGTCAAAATTCGAGTAAAAACAAAGATGCAGCAGTATAGAAACGAATAGGGGTGTTCCAAGAATCATACTACTAGAACAAACACCCATTTGCTAGAAATTTATTTAATTAATTTTAACCTGACTATACGCTTGTGTTGTTTATGTGGATGATTATTTTTAAAGAAGGGTTTATGGGGATGATTGTGTAATCTTATATGCTTATGTTGCTACTAAAATTTAGTCATGTGATATGTCAAAGTTTTTTTTTCACTTTTATAGTAGAATGGCTATTGAGTTTTGAATCTTATCCTTTTTTATCTTTTCAATGAAGTATATGAATTTTTTTGTGAGTATTAGTGTAATCAACCAAGATCAGCATAGAAGATTAGTCAAATTGTTATGAATCAAGGATTTCACTAGTGTTTACTCCAATAGAGCTATATCACTAAGGTCGGAAAGTGTATATATATAAAATCACTAAACGAAATAGGAGATGCAATTTACAATGGTTTCATGCGCTCGTCATGTGATGGTTAGTTGGTGACATTTTCAATTCTTGATTTGAAGAGAAACAACTAAAAATGTTCTTGCTTGTTTTGGTCCCATGTTCGGACTCTTTTTTTTGGGAATTCCACCGACGGTCGAGTGGGAACCTAATTACCCAAAGCCTAGTTTTATATTAAACTAGATATGGACACATACAAAAGTATGGATTTTATTTGATGTTTTTTCTTACGAAATATTAAAAAGATTGAACAAAATTTTAAGCATCAATTTTAGGTTTTTGTATATTTTGATGTTACTTATTAATGAATAATAACTTGGCATCCGCCATTGTTTTTATTGTAATTATGATGCTTTAAAATATTTATTTAATAAAGTATTTACATATATCTATTTACAATTATCTTTGTTTACGATTTAGAAAATAAAAATTACTAGAGTTTTTACATATATCTATTTACAATATATATGATAAATATTTTAACACATGTCATAATTTTAAAGTATTTACTAGAGTTTTTATCCGCACGTTCGTGCGGGTATATTTTTCATTTTCAAAAATTTATTTAATATTAATGTAAATATTTGAAATATATAATTTATATTTTTATGTAATATATTGTGTAAATTTATAATCTAATTGGTGTAGGTTTTTATTCAACATTGTTAATATATAATATTCTTTAATTTTTTACTTTGAAATTTATAAAATAGAATAGGATTCTTTCTTTGTTATTATAGTGAAATTTTAATTAATATTAATGTATAATAGTATGATATTATTAATTATGAAATTCATTATTATGTTATTTAATAATAAAATATTTAAATTTTTAGTAAGAATTTATTAGATTTTCTCTCAACCGATTCTGTTATAACTAAAAATAGAATGTAAATCTATTATTTTCAGCATATATGATATATATTTGATTGATTAACCTAAATAATTTAATATGTCATACTAATTAATTAATGAAATGGTCCTATATGACTTCTTTGTAGTAGATAAAAATATTGACTATATTTTAATAGAGTAGATTGTCATGTGTCGTGATCATGTTAATTAGCAATTTTTAAAAATCAAACTTTATATAAGAAGATATCTCTTCAATAAAATTCAACTGATTTTGCTAAAAAGAATTCAACAGATCAAGAACCGTATCATTTTTTCCTTCAGTTGTTATAGTTGAAAAGTGGCAGATTTCACAGAGAAACATATTTACAGAGGTGAGTATCGTTTTCCTGGTTTAGAAAACTTAGAAGGCAAGAGTGTCATAAGAGAGGTTCGTCATAAGACACTCCTTAACACCAACTAATTTTATGACTTGACAAGATATACACATACAGATTCAGTAACCAAAGACTAGATTTTTCTTCTTGATTTTGTCTTGGATTTAAGGACACGTTTCAGGAACCAGACTGTACCATATATTCTGAGGCCTTTTGTTGAGTATAACAAATAGCAAGACCATAATACGACGAATTCAAAGTGGCTGAGCTCAGTATTTAATCCATATTTGATCTTGTATTATTTGTGCAGCATTGCTTCTTTTCTGAATATTGCAATATTGACTGATGGGAAAGTATTCGAAACACACAAACTATACATTTTGTCTGCGTACCAAGTGACTCCAATTTTATTTATATGTAAAATATTAAAGCAAAACCTAAAGCAAAAGATTGACATAAGAAGTCATAACAAACAAATGGGAATATTATTCTTTAGTTTTTCAGTCAAAGTACATGAGATGAGATACAACGAACATTAATCGGTGTTCCGTTCAAAAGTGCAACAATAGAGAAAAATGGGGTGCAAAAACAAAGAAAATATTGTGTATGTAGTTGTGACAAAGCATGTCTAAAGACATATCATAGCTCCTTACTGTATGTCTGATTCAGTTATGACTTCCCGTTGACCTTTTTAGCACAGCCGGGATACCAACAATAACCTCCGTTTTGGCCGTGTCCATCACCTCCCCATCCCCATCCAAAGCCCCATCCTCCGCCCTTCCCATCACTTCCTCCTCCTCCACCGCCACCGCCTTCTCCTCCACCACCACCACCCCCACCCCCACCCCCACGTCCTCCTCCTCCTCCNCCCCCACCACCTCCACCTCCACGTCCTCCTCCTCCACCACCACCACCACCACCTTCACCTCCTCCACGTCCTCCTCCTCCACCACCTCCACCTCCACGTCCTCCTCCTCCACCACCACCACCACCACCTTCACCTCCTCCACGTCCTCCTCCTCCACGTCCTCCTCCTCCACCGCCACCACCACCACTTCTTTTTTTCTTTTTGTGGGAGTTTTCTTTTCCGCCTTCACCTCCACCACCACCTCCTCCGCTGCCGCCTCCACCTCGTGGTTTGCAGTTTCCACTCTTTTTTACATCACCATTCTCACCACCCAATGCATTTTCAAATCTAACGGTCGAAATATTCGTATAAAAGTTTTTTTCAAAAGGACTTGTAGACACAGTAGAACTCATAGACCTACTCTCACTTCCATCTCTCTCCTTTAGGTCTCTTAACCCATTAACAAAGTTTGGGCTAAGAAACAACACAATAGAAGCAGTACCAAACAAGAAAAACACAAAGCTTGATGATGATCTCTCTCTTACACTCTCCATTTTAACTTTTCAATATATTGAACATCGAACTATATTTGCTTCTCGTGGATATGCATCGATACTCTCTTCTTCCTCTCCTTTTTATACTACCTAGGTTTTCTTCACTCTTAACTAAGTATTAATCCAAAGCATTTAGTTTAACTAATCTCATGCACATGCATCTCCCATACGGAACCTACCAACTTTTTATTTCCTTTTAATTTACAATAAAAAGCTGCAAAAAAAGAGATGGAGTCGAGACTTGAGGGTATATGCATACTGCATAGGCACTTCAATTATTAAACTTCTTTTGAATTTTATCTATCTAATTATCATAAAGTGGCCAAACTATAGAAATTGCTTCACGCGAAAGACAGTCGAACAATCAACACTTGATTCAAGGCTACAAAAAAATACATTTTCTTAGTTGGGTATTTAAGAAACGGCGGTTAAAAGCGTGGTTATACTAATCTATGTTATTTTGCATTTATATAGATAGATGACTGCATCAGGGTACGTAGGAGTTCATTGCAAATGCATGCGGGATATAAAATAAAGTAACATAAGACGTACAATTTATTTGTGTCACAACATAAGACACGTTAATAAATGGAAATAAAGAACACACGATAAAAAATAGTAGGTAACGTGGGGCACCAAAAGGGTATGGTCTAACGTACCCTGCGAAACAATATTTTTCTTTAGGGATGACTTCCCTTTTGGTTTACGCTATTTCCAATTTTCATAATTCCTTCACACGAAGACTCTTCGTTGTGGTGTTGGTTGGATCTAAAAATATCTCTTGTGTTGTGTAGTAGTAGCAATGCTTTGTTTAATTTTGTTATTCACGATGTTATACAGTATTCTTAACTTGGATTAGGCCACAAGTGGTGAATAAACAGAACTACTGTCTACTGTACATGAGACGAGCATTGGCTTAGAATTTTTTGAACCATACCAATACGTCGGTCCTCACTTTGTTGTCTCATTACGCCGACGACATTGTTACAGCAAAAAAAACCTCCGTTGCCGGGACTCGAACCCGGGTCTCTCGGGTGAGAGCCGAGTATCCTAACCAGCTAGACTACAACGGATTCGTGCTAACCTGGCAGCTGTATCGTCCTTAATAATGAATATCAAAGATAATATGTATCACCTATACCTCTATTCATCAATCTCGAATCGTGAATCATGTAAGATACAAGAGAGACTTACATTAAAGAACACATTATGAATTTGACTTTCACTAAAAGACACATTGTGTCTTTGACACACTTTCTTTGGACAACTGTTTTTTTTTTACGGAAATAGCCTTATTTTTTTAGAAAGAAAAAGTATGTTTAGTTACAATGGAACCTTTACTTTTGTAGGATTGACTATAAACCATACTAGATCATAACCCGCCCGACTGGGCGGGTATTTGTTCTATGGTATATATAAACATTTTAAAAATTACAAT